TAATTTTATAAATGATTAAAAAAAATAGTGGGACAACTACCCTACTCTCTTATAACTAAATATGTCCCTTCATTTTATATCGGTACTAAAGTAGATATTTACAAACATCAATTGGGAGAAAAAAAAAATATCTGACATTTGTTACATACAAGTACAAAATATTTTTTTTAGAAACTTTTCAATGCATTTAGAGACAAAGAATATAACTTGTAGAAATGAGATAAGACTCTAACATCTCAATTTTCATAAAATTATATTAATAATATGATAGTATTTATTTTAATGTTTTAATGTGTTTATTAGAAATATTTTTAATATTATTTAGATATTTGATATGACCTTTATTTTTTATATAAAACATATGTTATTTTTACAAAAGGAAGAAGTATATTTATATTATTTATCTATTTTATGTAAGCTCTATTTTAATATAAAACATAATTTTTAATTAATATTTGATTATTTGATATGAGACAGGTTTTTATGAAATGTATTTTATTAAAGGCTAAGCATATGTTGTTTTTAATTAAAAAAGAGAAAGTATATTTTGATTGTTTTTAATGTATTTATTTTGAAATTTTTGATATTATTTAATTAATTATATGAACTCTATTTTATTTATGAGACCTTATTTGTAATTACTATTTTAATTAGTGATGTAGGATGTATTTTATAAAAAAATAGTTTATTAATAAATATGCTTATATTATTTGATTAAAAGTGAAAGTTGTATTTTAATTATATTAATTGTTTTATAAGAGGGAAGGAAGGAAATCTTGGACATTTATTTAATTATATTTTATTATTATTTTTAATTTATTAAATGAGAAAAAGGGGTTAAGGAAGTTATCAAAAGTTACAAGTCATTTTGACGTATTCACTTCTAACTCTCATTCTCTCTTACACTTTTGAAGACCAAGGAGAGTCAGGAGAAGGAGGTCAACCAGAGATCACATGTACTTCGTCCTCTACTCATCAAGGTAAGGAGGGAGTGAGAAATCTCACTTAAGGTGTGGAGATATATGTAGGGGAGTCAGATTGGTCCTCAATCCCTAACGTGATATATACCTATAGGAACAAACACTTTATGAAAGTTTTCTATTTTGCTTTTTGATTGTTCTATTGTGTTACTTGTATGATTCTAAGTGTGGATATGTATTCAATTTTAATAATGGATATGTTTGGTAGCGGGATTAGCCTCAATCCCTTGCCTGATGCATTCTCTTAGAAATAGACACTTTTTGAATGTTTTCTATTTTCGTGTTTGAGTTTTCTGTTGTATTCCTTAATATTTTCTGAATGTGAATATGCAATTAATTTCGAAAAGATAGACAAATTTTGATATGAATTAGAGTGCTTTGTGGGTTCATGTGGAAAATCCCCTATGAAGTGAAATTGCGGATATGATCTTTAGATGAATTTTGAGACATTATACGTAAAATTGATGATGGATTCGTGTTTTGGGTAATATTTGTAGTGTTTTGACCAATTGAAATATTATATTAACTGACTGCTTGTAAAAAAAATGTGTGAAATCATGAAGTTAGGTCTATGACCTTTATGCTTCGTATGTTATGAATTGCGAATTGAATGTGTATGATGTTGGATAATTTCCTGATATGGTTTATGTGCTATTATGATGTATATGGCTATGAGAAGTTCCTTGTATGAGACTATGTAAATATGATGTGAAAATGTAAAAAGTGAACGTGTGACCTGTGACATGATAGTATAAGATAACATGATATGAGATATGAGAATCTGTGATAAGTGAAATGTTGAGTCAATGAACAATGAATGTGTGACATGCATCATGTACATATTTGACTCCAGGTGTGCTGCTTAGGCCACATGCCAGTGTAATGAGCTATTTCAAGTGTGTTGTTGAGGCCACATACCAGTGTATCCATGTGAAATTCTAGGTGTGCCATAGGCCACCAGTGATATATGTGCCCCAAGTATTGTTGTATCAGCATGCCAATGATGATATTCGTGCACATTTCGTATGGCGCCACATGCATGCATTTATGAGTCGAGTCTATGACATCATTGCATGATGAGTGTATGTGTATGTGATAATGTTTGTGTATGGATTGAGCTTGTCATGATTGTTGTGTGTGTTACTATCTGACCTATATTTCTGCACCTAAAACCGAGTGAGACGTTTCTCACTCCCCTATTTGTTCTATGTATGTTGTTCTTGTGTTATAGATGATCCTTAGCTTGAGGATGTTGATGATGAGGCTTAGGCTTCAGTAGGCATGCTTTGATAGGATTTGGGACATTGAGGCTTAGTTAGAACTAGTTTAGGATGTTGTTTCCATTGAACTATTTTGAAAATCTCAATTTCCTTTTTTGGTAATTTTCGTTTTGAATTTATTGTTTATGAATTATGAATGTAAATCCTCTATTTTGATAATTGAGATTCTAGTTTTATTTCTGAAAGATTTTAATTTCTATTTATTGTATAATTATATATGTAGGGTAGAGGATGTCAAATTAGGGTGATAATTACTTAATGAGAACTATGTTAATAACATTATCAAGTATAATTTTTAAATTTATAAATATAACTTATTGATATTAAGATTACATAATTAACATTAATTTCCTATCAGATTTCTTATTATCAAACTACGTAATATATAGTTGTATAATTCTAACCAAATCTTATAGAATAAGTTTTTTTTTTTTTTTGGTGAAAAATTAGTTAAATCTTTAATACCTAAAATAGGAATTAATTATTTTTTAAGTAAATATAGTCCAAACTAAGACAATTAATAATTAAAAATACTACACAAGTGAAACTGTAATAATAATCAAATAGTTTATTGTACTACTCTAAAAACCATAAATAATATAGTTAGATGATACAAATAAATTTTTCATTAATATAAAAAAAAATATTATAATATAAAACTAAATTAGATATTTATTTATCATATGGTATAATAAAATACTTTTAAATGATTAAAAAAAAATATAAGAAATGATATAGCTTGTAAAATGAAATTAAGATATATTTTAAATTTTGATATTGTGATTTGTGGCTACACATGATTGATGTGATTTGATCTCTATATGCATTGATTTGGGGTAATGTATAAAAATATGTATATTGAGCTGTTGATGCTAAAAAATCTTGTGCGCATTAAAGAATGTTGATTGGTTTAGGACTGGAGGAGAGGATATTGTTTTGGAAGTTAAAGATCTCATGTAGGGAATCTTGTTTCGGTGCTCTAGGAGACCAGTTGTTGAAAACACGCATTGAGTAGGCGTGAAATTCTTAGAGTGAATTTGTTGAGTCTTCTATAAGTCCTTGCTCAATGTGAAGTAAAGTATGAAGTTGAGGGCTACAACCCTTAACTGATTACTAGAAAGGTTGTATGGTTCCTTGAGAAAAATTAGTGGACTAATTCCATAAAGACTTGATAATGCATGTTAAGATTATACTTAACTATATTAGTCTTGACAGTGGAATCGAAATTTCCTAGTTTAAGTGGCAATACTCAAGAAATTAAATTAAAATAGGGATTCATATCTATACTATCCGTACGATGAAGCCGAGCTCCGAGTTCGGCATCATCGCGCAAAAGGACCTCGGGCACACGCTACCCGATGTGATCAGCTCGACACTTAAGTAGATCATAATCGATCTCAGAGAATCTCGCCTCAAATGAGATGTATTATCTAATCTTATCATATCTTATCTTAGGCCCAGAGCCCATAAGAACCCTAAATCACACTAAGGTACGTGTATTATTTATACGAGACTAATTATGGAGAAACCCTAACTTTAGCATCGGAGTCTCTTTTGCAGGTACCACCCCCATCTTGGAGCACCAACGTACCAGCGAAGGAGGCTCACCGATCTTACTGGACGGATCATCCCTATGACTGATTTCCGGTAAGAACATTTGGCACCCATCGTGGGACCGATCGAGACAGCTCTCATCGGCCACGCTTATGATTAGCACCAGAAGCCATAGTAGACGAGCAACAGACGACGCAAACCATCCATCTATCATGGATAACGAAGCAGCACTGAGAAAACTGATCGACCAGGTCAAACAGATGCGACAACAACACGTCACCAGCCTACAGAGCATGCGTGCCCAGTACGAAACCGACCTGGCGGCAATGTGGACCGCCAACGAAGCAGACCTAGCGGCGTTATGCGCCGAGAACGAACGCATTTGTGCTCAGCCCCAGCGGCAACACGTTGGTCATCTCTCCGGTCCTCAACTCAGCCCTAACGAGGCAAGGCGAGTCGAGGTAAACCAGGAAGCGGGATTAACCCCCTACAGGGAGTAGTCAGTACAATCGCAGGAGGTTTCGCAGGAGGGGGCGCCAGTAGCTCGTCCCGAAAAAAACACCTGCGCAACTTCAACCGCGCACACCTCACCACCTCTGCTACGCACCAGAGCTCGCTAACAATCACTTTCACCAACGACGACTATGCCGGAATCAATCCCAACCAAGATGATCCCATGGTTATAGCCGTGGCATTAGCCAATTGGGAGGTTCACAAGACTCTAGTCGACCAAGGGAGCTCAACCGATATCTTATATTGGCCATTCCTCAGGTTAGACGTCCCTCACTCTTTCATACAACCTCACACAAAGCCCCTAGTCGGTTTTGTAGGAAGATGCGTTCACACTCGGGGGTACGTGGACCTACTGACAACTTTTGGAGCACCTCCGGATTCACGGCGAGTCATGGTTCAGTACATCCTAGTGGAAGCCGACACCTCCTATAACATCATCATCGGCAGGCCAACTTTGAACCAGCTCGGTGCGGTGGTGTCCACTCCACACCTCACCATGAAATTCCTAGGGCATGACGGGAAAATTTTCTCCGTCAAAGCAAACCAGAAGACGGCACAACAATGCCACATTGAGAGCCTGAAAATCGCCTCACCCGGTGAACAGTGCAAGAGCAAACTCACCACCGTGGCCCACATCAATCATGAGGAAATCACCGACCTCGATCCGAGATCCGACGCTCATGACGAGCGGCCTAGCCCCGTTGACGAGCTCGATGACCTCCAGATTGGAGAACTCCCCGGGCAAATTATGAAGATCAGCAAACAGTGTCGCAACTCTAGGCGAAGATCCTCAAGAATGCCAACCTCTTCGCCTGGTCTAGCGCTGACATGCCAGGCATAGATGCCAATTTCATCTGACACAGGCTAGCAATACGCAAGGAGGCAAAACTAGTCGCCCAGAGGAAGAGGAAGGTCAACGGCGAAAGACGGGAGGCCATCGTCGCTGAAAGACAGAAATTTCTCAATGCTGGCTTCATCCGTGAAGTCAGATACACCACGTGGCTGGCAAACATGGTCCTGGTAAAGAAGAACTCGGGGAAGTGGCGTATGTGCGTCGACTATACCGACCTGAACAAAGTGTGTCCCAAGGACTCATACCCTCTACCAAGCATTGACAGGCTAGTCGACGGAGCCTCCAGACACGCCCTCCTCAGTTTCCTCGATGCCTACTCTGGGTACAACTAGATAATGATGTACCCACCTGATGAAACGCACACGTCCTTCATCACCGACCACGCCAACTACTGCTACCGGGTGATGCCCTTTGGCCTAAAAAATGCGGGGGCAACCTACCAACGACTGATGGACAAGGTTTTCCATCAACAAATCGGTAGAAACATGGAAGTTTACGTCGATGACATGGTAGTCAAAACCACCTCAGCGATAGACCACGCCGCCGATCTCACCGAAGTATTCGCCCAGGTCAGGAAGCACAACATGCGCCTCAACCCAGAAAAATGCGTCTTCGGGGTCCAGGGAGGTAAGTTCCTCGGCTTCATGATTACCAACAGAGGAATCGAGGCCAAGGTCCAACGCCTGGCCGGACGGTTAGTCTCGCTATCCCGTTTCATCCCTAAACTCGCGAAAAAGGCAGGTCCAATCTTCACCCTTCTGAAAAAGCCAAGGGATTTCCTATGGACAAACCAGTGCGAAGAAGCTTTTCAAAGCTTCAAAACTTTCCTCACAACTCCACCAATCCTACAGAAGCCGGATCACAACACCGATCTCCTCCTCTACTTGGCCGTGGCAGAGAATGCCATAAGTGCAGATGAGAGCAGTAATACAATATTATATATAAGAAGTAATGTAGTATTATTAATAAAAGAAAAAAAATGGAGAAGACATGAGCATAGAAAAAAAATAGATGAAAAACCCACTTGGAAATTCTTGAAACACTTGAAAAGTCACTTCAAACAATCCTCCAAAATCTTATGGGTTTGGATGGGATTGTTTTATGAATTTGGTATTTATAGATATCACTAAAAAGTCCATCAAAATCTCTCTAATACAACAATCCTTTAAAATCCTTATATTTTTTTAATACCAATGAATTATTTTTAAGTTGTAAAAAGTCTCAAATGAATACCAATGAATTTTAATGGACTCTTTAAAAAATCTTAAAAATCCTGATTGAATACCACTAGATTATTTTTAAGTGACATAAAGTCTTGATTGAATACCAATGGAGTTTTTTACTCAAAAAAAATCTTTTAAAATCCTATGAATCCTAAACCAATACACCCCCCTAAGATACAATATATATTAAAAAATTCAAAATAAATTAGAACTTAGTGCATCCCAACTTTTGTAACTTACAATTAGTTTCATGAACTCAACTCATCCAATCTTTTCCATCAAATGAAAAAAAAAAAATCATTATGACTATAAATAGACTTAGTTTTAAGCGTTATTTTCTAATTTTAAGAATTTTTTTTAATAATAATTACATTGATACCTAAATTAAGAACCTAGTGCATATTAACTCGTAACCCATTACTAAGCAAAGAGTTATTCTCGAACAGGAAACCAGTTGTGCGTAAAAATTGGCAAAACAAAATTGAAAATTGAAGCCATACATGTGAACATGGTACTTGCCAAGTTCTAGTTACATGACTTGATTTCGGAACAATTGTGATTCAAAAATCAAAACCAAATTTTCTTGTCAGAAATACTTCTCAAACACGAAATGCTACTTTGTTGTGCATCATTTTATGCTTCTCAAACACTATAAATTTTAGGGGAGAAAACGTCAAAATTTTTGAACAATCTAGTACGAATACTAAATTAATTCAAAATTCAATATTACGCATCCGAAGGGATTCAGAGAAGTTGAATTCGACATTAAGTTTAGGTATGGTGTGTGAATTTAACTTTTTTTTTTTTTCTTCTAAAGAGTCAAAGTTAAAGTGTGCAGGTTTATAACTGTTATTTTTATATTAATAAAAAAAACTATTGAATTATTTTTTACATTTATTAATTTAATATTTAAAAAATATTTTTAAACTAAAGGATGATATTGTTTTTTAACACCATACTGAAGGATGAATTAGTAATTAAAAAACATAATTTTGTACTCGTAATGGTAAGTTAAAACCGGAAGATGAAATCTTTGGTAA